CTGCGGGCCAGCAGAGCTCAAAGGGCCTCACTTAGCACCACTATCTATAAGGCTGCAAGACGACTGGCTTTAGTCATTAATAAATCTCCATCCTGGCCACAAACTGAGTCAGGAATTACTAGAAGTTTTTCAAAACTCCGGTCACAGTGCTGCTGTTCCACTCTGATACGATCAAGGGAAGGAGTGTTTTAAAGCTGTCAGGGCATGACTGATTACCCTTGCTCTTGCTTCCCATCTTGGCCAGGGAACAATCAGTGCCTCCCTCCTTAACCATGCAAGAGTGCCTGGTATGGTCAAGGGATGCTTCGCCGCCTAGCTCATTACTCAAAAGCCAAAGCCTGATGGAATTCATGAAATCCTAGAGCAGCCCAGAGGATGAGAGGGGAGAAGTGGGGAAGAAGGCACCACCACAGTCTGTAATAAGTAGGATTGTTTTCAACTATATTTGTAAAGCCAAAGGAAGATAAAGGATGAGACAAGTTTGATAGAAAGAGATCATCCTGAAGGAGAGAGGTAGGACCCCGACTCCTCAGAACAGGTGGTTGCTGAACTTTGTACCACCCAGAGGCAAAGTGTGCAAAAGGAGATGAGGGAAGGAAGATGAAGGAAGAGGAGATGGGAAAGATGAGGACTGTTCAGCCTCATCATGATGAAGGAGGAGTTTCCAAAGTATGCAGAGAGGTGAAATAAAGGGAAGTAGAGAAGGAAATAAAGTGAAAATCTCAAAACTAAAAGGCTGGCTGAGCACATGTAAGGCAAATGGCAGGCCACAAAGATTGGAGATTCTTGGCTAGCAATAGATCATTAGAAACCTTGCTGAGAGCAATTTCAGTGGTCAGTGGGATGTAACGTAGAAGTGAAATAGAGGAAGCAGGAGCTCTTGCTAATAGCACATTTCAAGAGTGTAAAAAGAAAAAGGGATGGGATATATAGGTTAGGAATATTTTCTTCCAAAATGAGAGAAACTAAATTTCTTTTTGAGTGAGAAGAGCTATAAGCAGATAGTCAACGGGCTTTGGGAGAATAAGACGAAGGTAGAGTGAAAAGCATCATGTATATAATTACTATAAGAAACTCAGCAGAGATTACCAAGAGGTGTGTAGCAATGTAGGAATAAAGGCATTTATTTGCTGCCTGAGAGAACTGCATAAACTCCATGGTGCAGTTAGAAGCAGGAAACTTTATTCCACCTAAGGGATCAGTTTATGGTTTATGTCAGAGTCAAACTTACTACTGCACCTGAGTCTCTTCCCCAGCTGAGGAAAATTCAGTAGCCTCTAATGCTGAGATGTAGTATAATCCTAGTGCATTTTCCTCACTGATTTGTTTGGCTGACAAGAAAAAAAATGGATAGGCTGTACCACTGCTTACAATAGTGCTCATACTGTTAAGCTTAAGCTGGCAGGTCAGAATTGCTTCAGAATAGCTTGATCCCTTTTTCTGAAGGTGTTTTTACCTGACTATAAACACTTCTGAGTTGAATACATACCATTTTTCTAGGCTAACAAACTTGTTGGGATTGTTTTGCAAATAGGAAATTAGCTCTTTCCTGGGATTTTAATCATGAATAATAACTCTCCTTCAGGACTGTGAGAAGCTTCAGCATGAAGAGCTGAAGAGCCCTGAACATTCTTTGCTTGCTGCTGTACAAGGTACTCCACAATCTGTTAGGAAAAGGTGGAAAGCAATTACTATGATAGGTCCATCTGAGTTAGGCTGTTCATGGAAAACAAATGCCTGTCTGCTGTTAGATGCCTGTAAGGTAGTCTCTCCTGTTGCTAAGACCAAACCTGTGATATGAAGAGTGCCAGAGGATGTCACAAGTGATTAGGTACTGCAGTATGTGAAAGCAGGAGAGACCCTGTACCAAGTGTATAAGAAAAAGATACAATCTTTTGGTTATAGGGGATATACTTACATAGACCAGAAGCAGGTCACAAAGTTGCTGAGACTCTCCATCCACTAATAAATAACATGGTTTTAAAATCAGCAAGCTTGCTGTATATTAGAAGAAAGATGCTTACATGTACATAAAATATGCCATCCATCCTACTCCACTTCTCTGGGTAAAGTTCTGTATTCTTCCCGTATTTCATGCACTTCCATGTAATTCAAACCTACTGTGAAGAGAATCATCCTGTTCAGCATCCTCAAGTAAATAAAAAGTTTTAATCCCCTGCTAGTTTAAATTTGTAACTAATCCCTTTATGATTCAGTAAATGTTTCATTTTACACTTGAATTTGTGAGGCAAATTTTGTCTCTCTTTACTAGAGACTTCATTTCTGAGTGTTCCAGTACATCCTCTACACCTTCTTCATACAGTCTAAGAAGTTCTGCAACATGCACCACCTTTGATTTAAATCTGCGCTAACAACAGCACTTTGTAGCGCCTCCACTGAAGGAGCACAGCAAAGATGCTAATTAAATCCATCTTCACTCAACTGCATAAAGAGAAATTTAAATGACAGGTATCTCAGTAGTCCCCAGCAAATTTCCCTTGCATTTAACTGCTGTTCAGGCACCGATGCTCCTACGCACTGCTTGGCACATTTCACTTTTATATTCTCTCCTGTGATTCCAATTGCTGAATGCATTAAGATACTGAAAACCAGATACATCTCCCATGCTTAGTGATCTCTGTATTTTAGTATCAACCCCAGATAACAACTGGGAGGGCCAAGGCCTTGATGTAGTGACTCTGCTTGCTGCTGACCCTTAAATTGCTGATTCTGCTTAACACACGTCATGCTTAACGTGCCGTCACTTTAGACGCAGGGTTCAGACCTTTGCTAGGGAAGTGATGTGCTTTGCAAAGCCCAGCTGTATAAAGGAGATATCAAACCTGATGTGCTGCCTTCTCATTAGTAAATAAAGGTGGTGCTAGAACAACTTTTCAGTTCTCAAGGACAGTAATTGCAATGATAGCTTCAAAGATCAGAAATAACACTGCAGTTCCACCGTGGATGGAATTCACAAGTGAATACACAGCACAAGGGTAGATTTGACTAAATAATTTGGTTTTACTGAAGCAACCTCTTCATTAATATGTAACTACTCCTCCGTATTGCAGCTTTGTTCAGCCTTTGGAAAATACACCCACTACTTACAGCCTGTTGTTAGGAGCTCTGAGCACTGGTAAGCCCACATACTCTGGGCTCAGGGGAGATAGAACAACTATGGAGAGATTTAGCTAAGTGTTACAACCTGCTAATGCTTTTCTAAAGAAAGAAATACCGGGTGTTGCTAAAACTAACTTTAGGAAGTTACTCTTACACTTGTAGGCTGAAATCCTCACCTCTGCTTTGATTTCTGTGCTTAAGGAAGAGGGCAAAGGAGAAAAGCAGCTCTAGAAAGCCCAGTTATAGGGAGGGTAGAATTACAACAGAGCCATCAGGTAGTGTTTTCTGTTCCTGGTGGGACTGTGTACATGAAATACCAGGGTGACAGGCAGAAGAGATAAAACTCAGATGAGGCAGCAGGGTCATGATTTCCAACAGCCACAGGAAACTGCTTCAGATGGGAAGCACAGGGCAGGGAGAGACACACTGAAAGCTCCATCTACCCAATCTCCGGGCAAGTTCCTCTTGGCAGGAGATTGCAGAATCCCTTGCAATAACAAGAAAATATCTTGGCCCTGTTAATGTATTTCACATGAAAGGCTCCTTTCCCTTGCCTTTAGACCAACCTAATTAATTGTTTCCTAGAGCAGTGATTTTGTGACCACCTGGCAGTGCCTCCCTGCCTTCTGGCAAGATGCATAAACCCAGCTCAGTCACACAAATGCCGTTACACAAACAAGCATCATGCATTTGTTTGCACACAGAATGTACAAGTATGCGTATGTACAGGCTTGTTGTTTGAAGAGTACTTAGAGAAAAGTAGGGGGAGAAGGTGTCATTTCAGAGCAGGTGAACTTTCAGCTTTATGACACAAGGCAAATGCTCACTGAGATGCTGAGAGATGACATGACCTTGCCTAAGCTAGCTGAGGCTTGGCAGAGGCTTTAGATACATTTTATAACAACACATAGAAATTGCAAATAGATTTGTTGGAATGTTTGTCAGATTCAGACTCACTACATCAGGCTAAGCTGAATACATTTAATCTGGATGGAAATCCAAGAAAGTTAGCTGAGTTTTAAGGGTAGCATGTAAAAGTGTTTTAAGTATTTGAATAGATATGAGGAATGATCTTTAGCAAAGGAGGAAAAAAAACCCTACATAGATACACTATTGTTGCTGGGGCTGTCCTGTAGCAGATATGCCAGAATCTTTGTCATTCCATGCTTTCATCAATGATAAATCACTGTATCAATAAAAACATGCTGAGTTGCATAAATAAGGGATTATCTTCATAGGTATGTTGGTACTGGTCCTCAGCTGTATCAATGCACACGAGAAGCCTGTCTTAGTACTCTGTGTCCATATGTTCTTAGTCAAAGCTGCAAAACTGTTATCCAAGTAAAACAATTAAAACAAACAGTTGTTTTTTTTAGAAGCTGTTGTTGAAATATGGCTCAACCATAATTATTTACGTTAAACAGGCACCCACACACTGCAAACTGTGGCACAGTTTAGCCACAGTAACACGGTCAACAAACAGTGCTTCAAAGTGGAGCTCAATGCAATGAGATCTGTTGCAGTAGCTAAGCTTGCTCTAGGATAAACTGAAGGCCACAAACCAGTTGGTCACTGACTCATGCAGCACACCATTTCTCACCTCTCTTGTCTGCAGAAATGGAATAAAACCAGATCTTTGGTTTTCAGACCACTTGGTAACCTGGAAGCTGGGGACTCCTCATGACTGAATGCTTTACCAGCCCTCAGGTCACCAAATGGCCATCTGACATCCACAACCGCAGAGCCCTGTGGGAAAGGGAGTGTGAAACCAAAAGCACTTGTTAATTAAAGGATTTCAATCAAGCTGTAACCTCTTACGACAGATGCATTTCCTAACTCCCACATCTACGGGCATGTAAAGATTGACACAGAAAGCCAGCTTTGAAAGAAAAGATGAAATGCTGAATGTTTATTTTTCCATGAAAAAGCTTTACAAGGGAAAAGAGGTTCCACAGGAGAAAGAGGACATTCTTTAATCACTGTTTATTTGTTGAATTGATATCCAAGGCTGACATTTCTTCTACAGTGTATTTATTTGTTCTCATAATATTACAGGACATTTACCTTTTAGTTAAAAAGGATCATAATCCATGAATATTGTTCCGAACACTATTAGGCAATGCTGTATATGAAGAATTTACACAATCTACATCAGCTGTAGATGAAGTGCCTTCACTTTTAATTCTTCACATATTTTGTAGCAACAAATATAAACCACATCTTTTAAATGCTCAGACATCTGAAAGGCTTTGCATCACATGTAATGGAAAAACAGAGGTTTAGTATCTCAAAGAGCAGACAGAAATATTCCAATGTCCACAAAGCAACACTTAAGTTCTCAAGGAAGAAGAAAAAATCCCCCCCTTTCCCCTTAAACCATATAGAGGCATTTATTAAGGTGTTAAGTGCTCAAATGTGACTTTCTTCACTAGTGTTATATTGCTGGGATTTCTACACATCCCAGAATCAGAATCTAAATGCAGTTACATGGTTTCACAGTGAGAAAAGCTGACCCTTCCTAGCTGCCCCTACACACAACCTTCTGCCATTTAAAGAATCCTTGCTGATCTGTACAACAGGCGAAAAAATACCCAACCAAACAAAACAGAGACCAACCCTCCACCCCTCAAATACCAAGAAGCATCACCCTCACCCTTTCAGATCACTGCATGTTTTGCCTTCCATCTCACTGAATTTGAAGCTGTTTGAAATCTCCCTGCCAAGTTTGCTCTGAAGTGTACAAAAGAGGTAACAACAGTTTCAAAGTAAGTTCACAAGACAAGCACACCCCAAACAACAAAATAACATTTTGAAGTACTTCGTAAGAAGAGTAGTTTGAATTGTAAGCACCTCGATTTCAACTTCATTCATAAAACATGAAGAAAACTCTTCAGTTTCAGAATTAGTAGAATTAAAACCCTGAAAACTTGCAAACCACGAAGGTCAAATATCTTATTTCAATCAGTACTCCAGCATTTCTCTAAAGATGTACTTTCAAGTATTGTTATGGAAGGCACTGATTTCTTCCTTCAGTCAGAACGATGTAATTTAAACATGGAATTTCTGTCACACTGGGCTGAAATCCTGGCCCTAAAGATATCTGCTGCTAACCCTGGAGCATCTGGATTTCACCCTGTTGCAGTTTTACAACTACCTTCATTTATTCTTTCTCCTTAACTAACTTCTCACAGAAATCACACAGATCCACCAGAGGTTTTAATGACACAATGATTAATGGTACACTAATGGCAGCAATTCTACAGAAGAGACAGTTTTAATTGCACCAATTCTCCTTGAAAAGTGAAACTGGATAGCTTAGAAATTAAATATTCAAAAAACAAAACATTCTGCAATTCTGTTTCTTCACTCTTCTATCAATTCAAAATTGTTAAGAACTGGAAGCCAGTTATTTGCTATAGGCAACGTGCAGGACAGATGCCTCGAACGTATGGTTCATACACAGGTATTTCAGTTCAATCAAGAGCTAGAAAATCAAGCTCTTATTTTTCAAACAACATGAATGTAAAATCAAACCAGGAATTGTTGCTTTGCTTTCTATGAAGTCTGACAAGGGCCAGATGGGTTGAGTTTCTTAATATTTAGGCAAAATGGGAAATAACTGTGTGTAATATTGCTCTTCAGAGGCATGTTGAGTACAGAGCATTAACTTCAGGTAGACTTACAAACAGAATTTCACAAATGAGGTTTCTTTAGAGTAAAACTGTCAATGTTTCAAAAGAAGTAGGCAAGACTTGAAAAATACTTGCAATTCTTTTGCTTAGTCCTACGGCCTGCAGTTGGACAGAAAGTCCTCTGGAGTGCTTGAAAGCAAGGGACTAGCAAAGTGGGCAACAAGTACTTACAGTAATTACAGTTACACAAACATTCCTCAACTTATATCCAAGGTTTCTACCTTTACAGCTGTGACAAAAATCTGTTCCACTGATAATAATTAAGCACATAGTTAAGACAGCAAATTACATAACAGCCAAAGTATTTAACCTATAGGATCAAAGTTTCCTGAAATCAAAAGACATCAAAATCACGGCACAGGGCACTCAAGTTTGATGGGATGTTCTGAGAGATCTAAAACCAACCTCAGGACCTCACTGGACAAGGCCAGAGGTAAAGGTAAAACTTTTGACAGTAGCTGCGTAAGTGCTAAGGTTGATGAAGCTGACCTGAGGACATAATCTTATTCTAATGCTACCTAGAATCATGGGGTGGGTGCTGATAGGTCCTAGAATCCAGTAACTATTACCAGATTATCTTAAGATATCTGAAGGGGGCCTACAAGGATGCTGGAGAGGGACTCTTCATCAGGGACTGTATAGACAGGACAAGGGGGAATGGGTTTAAACTTTAACAGGGAAAGTTCAGGTTAGATGTAAGTTCTTTACTGTGAGGGTGGTGAAGCACTGGAACAGGTTGCCCAGAGAAGTGGTAAATGCTCTATCTCTGGCGGTGTTCAAGACCAGGCTGGACAGTCTTGGGCGTTCCTGCCCATGGCAGGGGGGCTGGAGCTAGATGATCTTAAGGCTGTTTCCAGCCCTAACTATTCTATGATTCTATGACATGGTCTAGTGTGAGATGTCCCTGTCCATGGCAGGGGGTTGGAACTGAATGATCTCAAGGTCCTTTCCAACCCAAACCATTCTATGATTATACAATTCTATGACAAAGAAACTAAGGTAAACTCAGGAACTCAGATATAGGTGTGCTGAATCCTAAAGGAGAATTAATCCTGATCCTTAATGAGAGTGGTGATTTTACATATGGTAGTACAAAAACTATAAAATACAGAACAGCTGCTTCTGATGGTATTCAAATTGGGTTACATGAACATAACGGAATGTAAAATATTAGAAATATCATTTCTAAATTGATTTACTGTACACTACAAAGACAGATGAGGTGGCTTAATTAAAAAATAACCAGGGCTCACATTTTCAACAACTGTCTCCAACTAATTGTCACTATTCTTTCCCTGCTTGGGACAGGGAAGCTCTAATCCCTGACAACTGATTTCAGTGAAAATTATAATGATTAATTCTAAATGCTAAATGTTTAATTAAAATTACTGATACGTGTTAGCAATTTTATTAACAACTGAACTGGCAGATTTGAGTGGAGTTAGTGGAGGGTGGTTGATAAGCTGCTGTGCATGGTAAATTCTCCTCAGGCAGCACAACTGCAGCCTGGAGGACAAATATACACAATGCGTCACAGCATCTCCCACACATTAAACAAAGTGAGTTGCTATATGAAGTTTATGAACACACTTCTGTGGGAGCTTCGCTGCAATGTGCCTTTGAGGTAAGTCATAATGAATAACAGTGATTTTTAAATATTACAGATCTTAAGAATGCACATAAATTTCTGCTATTGTCTGCAAAACTATATCTAGTTTAAAATGGCTTATATCACTCATAACTCTATAAATTCAGACACTTAAAGCTTCCATGTATGTAGAAAACCTTGTTAGGAATAAAAAAAAAAAAAATCAAGAAAAATTGTGGTCAATAATATAATTCTATTTGCTAAAATAAATAGTAATTAAAAAAACCAGAAGGACATGCCCCTGCACGAGAAGGAAAGTCACTTCACCCCCCTCCTCTGAGCAAGAGATGCAGTTTTACCCATAGTTTGAGCTACAAGATTTGCCCACTGGAATAAAAAAAGTGCATTAAGAATATATACAAAGTACTGGAAGCCATATGCACCTTTTCTCATGCTAAGCAGATAAAGCATTTATATGATGCTATAAACCCACTTTCTCATGTATTACTCATCTGGTCTGTACTTGTTCTGTATCACATTACCACATCTCCAAGTGGGAGGCATGAGAGGCAAAACACAAACTATGAAGAAATGCATCCAGTAGAAAACCCCAAAATTGTATGTGAGAATCTAACACAAAAAGGAATCAACTGAAAATGCACGCATAAAATATGTGCCCATCAATTGGTTTACATAGCCGGCATCCCTTCCCTTCCTCCAACAAAAGGCAACAAACTACGGAAAGATACTACCGATTCAAACAACATGAAGAAGCCATTAAAACACACTGCACTTCCTCTTCCAAACCACATTATCTTTTTCCTAGTCTAATGAAGAATATTGTATGGTAGTTAAATAAAAATTTAAAAGCATCTCATGGAGCTATTAATATATTCACTGATAACAAAAAGCTGTTCCAAAAAATCAAACACTACAACTAAAAGCTGCAAATGCCACTGAACTTGTTTCCATTATACAACACAACCATGCCCAATATTCTTTAGAGATTTGCTAGAGTAATTCATTAACTTATTAAGGTCCGATGCAAAAGCTATTAAGGTCAGCTGAAAGAGATGTTTTGAAAAGGTCTTCAGTTACACATTTTTACTGTAAGATGCAAACCTGGGAGTGCTGAGCAATACCGACCTACTTAGAATTCTTATATCAGGAACCACTAATAAACTGCATTACCATACAGAGAGTCATCAATAGACCTAATTTTTGTCAGTATTTTGACTGAGTAGTAACATCTTCTATTTTTCTGAATCATATTTTGAGGATGCTGTCTGGTACTTAACTGAAATAAATTCCTGTATAACCTGTACATGCTATTCTGTTTGACTGTCTGGTTACATTGACAGCACTTGCTTTACCGTTAACAGCATTTTGTAAACCCTAGAGGAAGGAATGGAAATAGCATCCCTAAACATCACAAGCTTCTAAACCCCATTTTTTTCTAATTATAGAACATTCAAATGTCTGCACACCACAAGTGAAACAGGAGTGACTCCAGGAATGGGTATGGTATTCCTTGGACAAACAAAGCACAGTGTTAGGCTATATGATGAAAGGCCAGTCACAGTGAATACACAGAGCAAGGAGCAGAAGAACCCCTGTAACCTCATCAGCAAGAACTGGAGCACAATGAGCTGCATCTAAGATGATGAAGGTGAACAATCAGAGCAGTGTCCCTTTGTGAAACCCACTGAGTCAGGAAAAGCAACTACGAGTGAGGTGAAAGCATATTGGGATATACAGCTTTTGTTTGTAAATAGGGTTGTGTGTCTTTTTGAGACACACCATCTTTTTTGAGATGGCATCACACCTTCTGCCTCTGCCTTCCCAACACTGGACACTTGATTCGGCTGGACAGGGTGCTGGGACATCTAGTTTGGGTCATGCTTTGCCTAGAAAAGTTGGACCAGATGATCCATGAGGCCCCTTCCAACCTGGTATTCTATGATTCATGATTTAAAGGTCCTTTACAGTTTGATCCTGGACTTCAGCTTGATCCTACTACCTAGTATCAACAATTCCCAATAAGCTCATAGTGGTTCCACATGTGTCTATGTACAGTGACTAAAAATTGAAACTTGAAAACAAAAAGGGTATGACACTTAAACGAACATTCAAGTATGTACATTTAGAAAGAAAACATATCTACAATACTATATTCAAACATTACACACCATAGTTAAATAAAGTTAGGAATACACAGTCTTTCCCCTACAGCAATACATTAATTAAAAAGTCAATAAGAAAACAGATTTGTTGACTTTTGGTTTTCTTTTTTGAGTACTGTAATACAGGCAGAATTTGATGATCTCATCCAATTGAAATAGGAAAATAATTCAATTCTAGTTGATAATGAGAAAAAACCCATCTGCTGAATTGCATGGTCAAGACAGCTCTGACAGTTTGGTTCATTATTCTGAACTTCTGAAACTAAAGCTTGGTTTTTTTCAGTAAGCAACAGATAATCTGTGGGCTACCTGGAAGCTGATACAAGGTTTCCTGGCTACTATCCAAAGTGAAGCAAACAAACAAATTCTGAAAGAGTTGTACTAACGTATAAACAATTATAAATGCCCAAATCAGCTTCTCTACTTTCATCTTTCCAATAGCATCTGCAGCCTGTGAACAAAGTAGCAAAGCTTTCTCCTTCTTCAAAACGGCATGTGGGAATTGAGAGCTTTACTCAAAGGAGCTGAACCACTGACTTAGAAAAGCTGCTTAAAAAACAAACACAAGAAAAATAATAGTCCAGCCCTTGCTTGCTGACAGGTGAGATAATAACCATTTCTGGTAGTACAGAGAACTTGCAGATAGACTGGCATTTCAATAGAAGGAAAAACCACACCAGTCTGCATGGCTCCCTTAAAACAAAAGCCTTTCAAGTTCATGACCAACATTTCAGTCAGCCTTTAAGTAGGAAAGAGCCACAACAAATCATACTGGGGTATGACACCTGACAGGTACCAGGAACAGTGGTGATTAGAACAACTATAGAAAAATTCTTTCACTACTGTGCATCATAACGTATGTGAAAATACGATCTTCAAACTTAAAATTACCTTCTCAGAACTGCTCCTCATGACCGGAGCAGAGAGCCTAATCCAATTGCATTGAGGAAACTCTTCAAGCAGAAAACTTGCACTCCCTCCTGTATTCCTACTACCTACTATGGCAAACTGAAGTAATGTTACTTGCAAAACATTACCAACCAAAGGAAGAATTTTGTAATGCAGTTTTAAAGCACCTTACTCAAATATTAGGTTTTCTAGCAAAAAGAACATTAATGCAAACAATCCACTACTATACAGTTCTGGTTCAGTGGCCACTATTACAAATGCAAGGACTAACAGTGACTTCAAAAGACTCCGAATCAGACTTCAAGAGTATAATATTCTCCTTAATATTACGTATTTGCAAGACAAAAGTCTTCAGAGAAGTCTTTATAGCGAAATCATAAAAGTAGTAAAATGATTCACCCTGCTTGAAATAGCTGACATTTCATTTTTGCAGTTCAGATATTCAAACTTTATCTCCCACTTATTATAAAATGTAAATTGGTATGTATCAGAAAAACTCCAGCATGGTTCCGTGGGGGTTTTCTTTATATATATACACATAAGAGAGGCACATTCTTTGTTAGAAATCAGCAGGAAATTCTTCTGTAGGAACTTGAACACTTCCCTTTCACAGAAATTTTTCCATGAACTATGCTCTTCACATAAGGCAGTCGTATGTAGTTAAGCAAAACACTCAGTTTGCATAAAATTAGAACCACAATTAGCTTATGATGTATTTTCAAAATACATGTGTCATCAATTCCATTACAGAAAAATAAGCAAGATACCTCTTTTACAGCGTGGAGAAAGAAACTATTCATTTTGACATTCTATTAAAATTTAATAAGGGCACAAATGGAACTTGTAACTTGTTAGTACAAAATGATCTAGCTCTTCTAACAGTATATACAGTGCAAAGACTTTCTTACAGTAACATCACAAAGTAACACCAGGTCTTTCAAAGGGACTCTAGCAATTGTTGCTCATTGCTTAGAATGGCATATATCCAACATATTCACAACTGGCAACAGAGCTAAAGTATTACAATTTTATTGCTGCTACTGTAATGAAAAGAAGTGAGGTTGTGATGATTAATTTTCACGTTAAGTTGTAGGGAACGGTTAATTCATTTATCAAGTTTATTATTTCTTAGCTTTGTCATAAGCTCCAAGAAAATCAGAGAAAAGTTACCTATTTGCATTTTCTCCTATAGAAATGGTGGATACCAAAATGAAGTATAAAATTAGCTGGCTTCAGGTTAGTTACTTAAAAACATGTGTATCAGTTCAACTTGAATCAAGCTGCCTTGGTTTGCACTAGCTATATGTAAAGGCTGATTGAATGAGACTCCTTTCATCATACAGGCACTGCTACCTTTGTTGCAATAGTAGAGGCACACTTTGATAGCCAGGATAGCTTCAGCTGATAGACAGCTCCCTGGTAACTGAAAAGGAATTACAGTTTGACAGGAAACATCCTTTATTTCTCCAGACAGAAGCTGTCCTTGAAGCAACCAGGTATTATCTGTAAAAGAACAAGAAGTTTTATGATTAAGTTATTTAACACTATGTCTGAAACCTACAGAACATATTAATTTTACCTATAAGACAACATGGACTTCCCATACGCAACATTAGGACAAATTTTCCTCATGATTCTTCCAGTTGTGGGCAACAATAGGAAAGTAATTTACAAATGCTTCTAGCAGTCATTTAAGGATGGAGAGATAGATAGCTCTGCTTCAGAACTATAAATATACATATAGTAGAATCACAGAATAGTTAGGGTTACAAAGGACCTTAAAATCATCTAGTAGATCTTCCTTAAAGGCACTGGATTTATAATTTCTCCTATATGTTCTTCAGAGGATATTAAAATTTATTCTGAGATATGCAAGCAAAACTCCTTAAATTAACAAGTTTCTATACATCTGTATCAAATACTCCAGGCAAGATATCTGCCATACATGCATAAAACTGCAGGTAAATGATGGCATTTCCAAACAGAAGTGTTAGTTTTATGAGTGGGTTGCTGCAATTTAGCAGTGTTCAGGCTGTTACAAGAGACTTTGAGTTTCACATTTATTTAAATACGCAAGAGTACGTGAGCTGAAAAATGAACTGCACAATAACTGTACCTAGCTCCTTGCATTGTACTCTGTATTTTACTGCGAGTGAGATGGATGAAGTGCTCTTTTTGGCATTTTTCAGAAAATACCTAGAAGTTGGCTCTAGGATTTATGAGCTTGAAATGACTTGTTGAGGTTAGGTTGCTTATAGTCTCCAATTTTACTAGCACTTGAAGCAATCACATGTATCTTTGCTTCAACAACATTTGGAGATTCTCTAGGCCAAAAAGTGCCGACTCTCCTGGAAATAGACTATTTGTACTCCAAAAGCACAAACTGGGATGACAAAATACTTTAAATCATAAGGCACATAAACAAATTGTAGTGCCTGTACAGTATTTTTAACTGCTTTTAAATACAAAAATATCAATTATAACAAAGTAGGTTTAATGTGGTTAGGTATAAATGTACCTCAAATACTTTTTTTGAGGAGACAAAAGCACACAAAAGGAATCTCTTCCAGGAGTATGCTACAGCTTCAAGGTGAGCTTTCTGAAACAGGCAGTAGGGCTGGGATAAGCTATTCATAGACACAAAGTGGAGAGGGCAAGCCCTCACTGGCAGCTTATTCCAAGAAAGTAAAAGCAAATAAAGATAATGCAGCAGGTATTAATTCAAGCAAAAGACAGCTTATCAGGTGTTTTGGGTTTTTATAATCTTCACACTCCAGCTGTTAAATATATCAACTCTAAATAACATGTATTGCATCACAAGGTCAAACAGGAACACAGGACTGGGAGGGACATTCAGATTCATCAGGCTGAGATGCTTGTACTGCAGGCGCATCATGATATAACCTACTTTGTGTCACACCTACTCCTGTACAACTAATAAAAGAACACAGGCGCTTTACCTTCTGCCGTGATGAACCAGTAGTTGGGTGCTTCTACATTCAGTTTTGAATCTGGAGGAAGAGTCAACTTTAATAAAAACTTAATTGTCTGGCCAGGAGCTACTGTTAGTGAAGGAAGTTGAACATTTGGTGCAGATTTAGGCAGCTTTGGAAGGCTTGTCATTCTCTCCCTTTGCACAGGCAGGTTATCTGGAACATCGCCTGCTTCTGGATCCAGGATAGGCAACTATCAGTGGAAATCAAACAAAGTATTTATTTGTACTGAAAGCAAAGAGGCTTTCACAATGCAATCACAGTTTAAGCTGACATGGACTAGGAAAACCAACACATGATAATATGGCTACTGGACTAAAACTTTCTGACTGTAACAATCCTATATCAACAAAGACAAGGACAAAATGCTTTCTGAAAACTAGTATTAAATATTTAGTATTAAATCCACAAAATTAAAAACTAGTATTAAATCCACAAAAAAACCTAATATTGAAAGCTTAGTATTAAATACACAACTACTTTAGAGCCTCCTTTAATTTAACAGTTGAATTGTAGTTTTACTTTAAATAAAATTTATAGGTATTTTCTTCTAATCTGGTGGTAAACTGCATGCTTCAGTAATAAAATCCAAGATTTTTGCCATGCAGACTGCACAGTAAGGGATAATTTCCCCAAAAAGCCATCAACACATTATATGCTAGAATTTAAATGCACATTAAGATCTGTATTATTAAATGCAAGAAACACACAAGATGACAGTTGAACCATTATGTCTCATACAGATACATGTTTACATGAAAACATTAAGACACAGTGCCATTGTAAGATGAATAGGAACACGAATTTGTTTTGCCTTCATGTTTATATGCAAATACAGCACTGCTCAATTATGACAGTGGTTTGACTTGACAACTTGGAAGCCTGCTATGTATCCCACTTCAAGTCACTGACCCCCAAAAATCATCCCCTTCAGCTTAATTACAGGACTTAGTGATTGATTTCAACCTCCACTTGTTACAAAGCGCTCACAAAATCCTTCTCCTACTGATAAAGTGGGCTGTATTTTTTAATACTGCACATTTCTGCACTGCTCTTTTCTAGAGGGTCATTTTCTGTTTTCATGCAAAAAATGTCTTTCCAAAGACTAAGCTTTCAACAACTGTGCTATCTTAACAACAGGCTATCTTTATTTGTCAGCTCATCACAAAACATTCTGTGAATATAGCTACTGTATGCTATATGATTTTTACAGTACTTGCTAAAACCTGCAATAGCCATTTGTATCAAGAAACACCACTATCAGACTGTCAAATAAGTATTACTTGCCATGGAAAGAATTCTTGTTTCCAAATCCAGCACTTTAATCTGATGATTATTTGTGTCTGCGACATACATCAAGCGGCCATTTTCTTCAACACACAAACCTCCTGGTTCATTAAATGTGGACTGCGTAAAGCTGGAACCAATGACGTTGCTTGCTTCTCCCGTGCCTGCCAGTGTAGCACAGTTCTTCATCTTGGGATCTACAATCTTAATCTAGGAGAAAAACAGCAAAAAAAACTTCTCTGAAAAAAAAACCACCAGGATTTAGTTTTGCATTATCTTATGCCCCACATTTTCAGAAGCCAGCATTAACTTTCAGTACCAACAGTGTGTCCTAGAAGCTAAATTATCATACTTTATCAAATGACATGTCCCATCACCTTGCCCCCAGTTCCCTGCTGGACTCTGCTTCTTCTTTGGTCTTCACTGAGTGCTCCCTTTCATAATATCGAAAGCAAATAATCCCCTGCTATAAAAGTACGCTGAATGGCGCGTTCTTCCAAGGTGTATTGCCTTTCTGGAATCATTTCCACAAGAGTAAGAACATAACAAAACTGGCATGCTATTTTTTAACCCCTAAAAATAGGTGATTTTTTTCCTTAAAACAATAGCAAAAAAGTTAATAATGCTTTATACAACACCTGAAACAAAAATTCATTTGCCATGTCGTTTTCAATAAGCATTCAGGGTTACATACTTTATTCTTCAAATTAAACCAGATCACTTTTCTTTCAATGCATTTAATGAATATACAGTTAACCTGTCATGGTTTAAGGACACAACCTTCTAAGCATGAAAGCTTATACAACACAGCAGAACAATCATGCAAAACAATCTCAATTATCTCAGAGTTCCACGGAGGCAACCCACAACACATCTTCTCAAAACTTGGCTGGCTTTCTTAAGGGAAAAGCAAGTCCTCTTGTTCTGGTTTTATCAAACCTGCAGTATTCCTGACTAAGCACTTCTAGTTCTTTTCCTCTAGGTCAGCATCTTCAGGAGGAGGTATGTAAAGGGTCTTTGGTCCAAACTGTAACTTGAAATTCACCTTCCCCAAGAGACCATCATATCAATACAAAAGCATGTGACAGCAAAATGATGGTAAAGAGAGGAACCCACAAGTGAAGGAAGAAAAGAAAAAGAACCCCCAAAGCAACTCATATTCACATTGTATGAGGCATTTCTGCCCATGGCAGGGGGTTGGAACTAGATGATCTTAAGGTCCTTTCCAACCGAAACCATTCCATGATTCTATGACTTGTTTCCTCAGCTTAACTGAACCAAGCACAATCTTTGTATGTTCCTAAAATAATCCTTTGTACTGTTAAAAACACGAGCTCCTATATGCTTACCTTATGATTGTAGGAATCTGCCACATACAACAGTTTTCTTTTCTTGTCCCATGTTACTCCTAAGGGATGCTGCAGCTTTGCATTTATGCCTGCTCCATCCACATCACCAAAGGCAAACAAATTCTAAAAGAGCGTTATTTTATTAAATTAATACAGTTGCTTACTCAACATTGACATGATTTAAATGATTGTAATTAAATGGAAATTCACTGACTTAAAAAAAAAATATCAAGACAACTTCAAAACAAGGATACTGAAAGCTGGGAAGTGTGGATGCTAACCATGAAAATGGAAACTCTCACATTTAAATTTGCAGTATGAATGCAGCTGGCTTTAGTGACCACACAATGCTGAACTGAGCTGGCTGTTTAAAAATAAGTGATTTGTTATCTGAGGAGCATCAATCTGCACTACAACCTGAGTGTCACAACTGGCACACATTTGCATTCCAAGCAGTGAAGTTAAGAAATTGATGGCCATGGAAACTGATGTACCCTCTCACCCCAAAAGTGGGTCCTCCAGGTCAGGCTTGAGGAATATTAGTAGGGCAGTGTAGGGAAGTTTGAAGTGATTACCAATGGATCTCTCTCTCCTCCTACAAGGTGCTTCACTGCTCCATCTTTCAGGGAGATGGTTCGCACAGTGCTGCTCTCGCTGTCTGCTACAAAAAGGCAGTTCCATGGTTCCTCAGAAGCCAGAGAGAGACCAGAAGGCTGTGCAAAGCCTGCCTTATGTGGGTATGCGTTGTTTCTGTTCTCCTCATTCCCACTTCCAGCGAATCGAAGGCAGACTCCTTTCTTTAAATCACTAGAGGAAAACAGTACCCAAGATCAGGAATGAGTCTGAACTACTTCAGACGTTATGCATAAACAGAAGCTACAGGACAAGCACTTGTGAGTTATGAAACCAACTTTACTGCAGCACAGGGAATTATTCAGTGCCTTTCTGCTAACTTGTATTTCATCTCAGTATATCATTCCTCACTAGATAATTCAGCAAATGCAATGAAAAGTACCATTCAATTATATGAATGTATTCTACCAAGTCATAGTTTCATAGCAAAAGTAGCATCTTTAATTCCATCTAGCAGATGTGGGGAAAAAACAGGCAGACTTTAAAGGCCACACAACTTTTAAGTCTAAACAGAAGCAGCAAGCTTCAAGCTACACACAGTCAAGAAAAATTACTTTTAATTTGATTATCTCTCTCTTTGGGATTTGAAAGCCGTTTATCAAGACAAACAGCAGCTTCACCTGTCTCTTATTAGTTGCTTACCTTCCTTTTGGTAGTTTTCCATCTTCCAGCATCAGTGCCCATATCTGGTGAGTGCCTGCCATTGCTATCCATAAAACATCATCTTCCTGGGTCCCTGAAACTTTAAAATGGATGTGTAAAAATAGAGAAAAAAAACCCAACAAACACTTTGGGAATGCTTTGTAAGACAAATCAACAAATCAATCCTGCTATCCCCTCTACTCCAGCTCTCCTTTTCCCATGGGAAAGATTAAAAAAACCACCCTCAACCAAAAAAACAGAGCAAGAGAAGGAGAGAAAATGTCATTCTATCACAAATTCTACTTTATTTCTGCTCTCTTTCCAAGATATAAAAATAATATTTTTAATATCCCTACCTACAGACAATACTTCAAATGGGATTTGCTCTTCACAACATTTTGCTATTGAGTCCATGTTTCACCTACGATTTTTGGATTCATACTAGCCAACAAATATGTACTTATCTTTGCTAAGCATGGTTTGGGCAGTGGGGGATGTATGTTTTGGGTTTTTTTACTATGTTAGTCAGAAAATTAGATATTCCAAAAAGCTACTGGCAGTTGTTTACAGGCTTGGAGAGAAATAACTGTGGCAGTACATTACATACAGAGTACATAATGTTTTTAAGATAAGGGTAACTGATGCTTGTGCATCATGTAGATTTACGCTCTGGAGCACAACTGCTGCTGTCTATTCAAACATTAGATGTGATGTGGGCAATTACTCATTTCCCCTTCCACTGTCCATCCAGTTTCCAAGTTGTTCTCCCTATGCACATGTACAGGTATTACCACAAATAAAAGACACAGATCTGCGCAACAGTGACCTTTTATCAAGAAGTGTTCAACTATGCTTCAAGCAGCTATTTTTTTCAACTCAAAGTATAAAAGTAGTATTCACCAATCCAAATCTATAAATTACATGAAGCTTGCCCAGATAATACTTCACAAATGATACAAAAGGAAAGTGAAGAACATTGTAAGTGCTCTATAGCTTTAAACACAACACATTCCAGTATAAGGAAGAATACATGAAGACAAATTGTGAAAGAGCATTAAAAACCAAGAAACCCCAAAGAAATTTACTTATCTTAGCCTCTTCTGAAAAGGAACAGAAAGTTGACATTTAAAAACTGCATTAAAATGCGGACACTTATCTTTCTAAGTGTAGACAGTGTATTAGCCTACACACACTGTATACAATTGCCTGGTCTAGTCAGAGACAAGATACGTTCATTTCTGAATAAATGTATCAGGTATTGGAATAACTATTAGCCACTCAAAAGAAAAACACCTTCAAATTGCTCACAGAAACTTTATTCACGTGAACTTTTAAAACATCTCATAGGCATTTATGCAAATAATCTAGTGGATACCTCCCCCCCCCCCACCCTATTTTGGGAGCTTCAAAATAAAAGCAATTCTATGTAATACACTTGCCAGCGTTTTAAACCTGAGAAGTTAGTCCAAATCAATCTTCCTAAAATGAAATTACCACCATTCCCCCAACAGAGATCCTGCTGTTTTTCTTTTAATCCTAAACCTTTCTCACTTCACACACTGCAAGAGGGGAAAAAACCATCCTTCTTTCTCCAGAATTAATTTCCTCATACTGTGAGCTCTCTTCAGAATAGTACTGGTATGATTTTAACACTGTTTATCTTTAGCCCTTTCTATTCCCTGGATCAAGACACAAGTTTCTAAGACTGTGGACAAAGGAACCTGTTGACTCTCTCCTGCACCTATACGTGGCTCCATTTTTTATGTAAACTAGAGCTCCAAGAATAAAACTCCAACTTCCAAAGCATCTAAAAGTTTTTTGTTGAGCAGAAAGGTTTGCAAAATGAGTTGGAAAACACACATTTTATGAGTCAGTCACCACAGATGTTACTGAAGTCCTGGGGATGCCAAAACCAACCCAATAAAAAAACAAAACCAAAACACGCACCCCCTCACAGTACCACCTTTTATTAGAGGCTGTTTCTAAGAGATCTAAATTGAGAAGATGGCCTACGAAATCATTTCACTACTTCCTATATAGTACATGTTCAACTTCAACATTTTATGTCTCCATGATGCACGCCTTGCACTCTTCAGATGCTACTATTTCAAGCATCACAGAATGAACAATGCTAAAATCACTAGTCAATTCAGAAAGTGAGTTTTTAAACTTGCTATGCTGTTCAGTTCATTATGAGGGATGTCAAAAAGTGCTTTGTTAATTATTTAATATTCACTTCACCCACCAAAGAAACAAAGGAGTAAGGCCTGAACTGAGCACTTTAGAAAGATCTATTCTATTCATCTATCCGAGTCTCTAATTCCATCCACTGAAAACTCCCTTGTGACAGCTATATGTTGAAAAATGGAAAAGGTTTCTTACTTTAGTTCTGCACACTAAAAAGCTTAAATATGAGGCATAGCAAGAAAGTATCAATATTAATTCCAAACTTTACTGAAAATGGAAGATCAATAGAGAGAAAATTATTTCTTCAACTAGAGAACAAGGCAGTAAAAATAAGAGCTCCATAACCATAACAGATTTTAATGCAACTTAAGTATTTTCTTCTGGCTGGCCATTAGAACAAAGAGAACAGATGCAAACATGGAAACAGCACAAGCGTAGTGACTTGTGGGAAATATGTCAGGACTTTAATAAAAAAAATTATACAAACCCCCAAAAAAATGCCTGTAGTTCCACAGCTAAGGTATTTTATCACGCAATGGGCCTGACACTACAGAGTTTAATGCGCTATGTTCTGAAGCATAAGACAGAAAATCCTCTTCTTTCAGGATACAACACTTCGAGGACATGCCACCACTGTCATCCTTGCACTGTTCTCACAGGAGAAGTGGGCCAGCATCCTAAAATTATGCTAGTGCCATCATTATCATAACTCCTTATCATCCTTGAATGGAAAGAATTTATTTTTAAAGAATTTATTATAAAACAACATAAAAGAACAAAGCAATTATTTTACATTCATTCAATTAAGCATCACATTCCAAACTATCTTGAGCTGTTTCAAAAATCCAGTGTAGTTTCTCCTTATTAGGGTATGTGCTTTCTTATCTTTAGTGCTGCCCCTATCAAAGTATGGCTTGCAAATGTGACATACTTATGTTATAAAGATTCACTAATAATGAACTAGGCCTTCCATATTATACAACACTTCAGTTATTACACAACAATTCAGTCCTTCAGTCTATGTATCTGTTGTAAGACTTAACAGACCTATACACAACTTTAAACAGTTCATTAACACTGCTGACTGTTAACTGTGAGTCAATCTGGACACACAGAAAAGAGTTTATTTCATAACAGCCAAAGGCAGTATCTGTTCGAAGAGATTCCATTCCCAGGACTATCCACTCTTCCAGCTTCCCTGGCTGGGGACTGCATGCTTACTTCCAGTCTGGGAATTAAAAGCCTGGGAATCAGTTAGATTTTGCGGTTGGCACCACTGACATTTTCTAAATAGACTGATGTTTGAAAATATTATTCTTGTCTACTAACTATAAAAAAAAAAATAACAAGGAAGAAGTCTGTTGGTACACTCATCCTCTGCAAAATCACAAGTGGCAAAAAGGGCTCCACAAAACACCTTCCAGTTTACAGACAGGCACACTGCCTATGTGAATTTGTGAGTGCAAGTCGCGCCTACGCTACAAATCTGACTGACAGAACAACTACAGAATTGTTCTTCAGTGAGACAGAGATAGCAAAGCCCCAAAGGAATGCTTGAGCGTTGTCAGTTTGGACTGTTACAAGTACACATCATCCTTTTTGGAGGAGTAAAAATTCATTTTCTTCTTTTTCCTGCACTCCCTCTTTCACATAGTGTTCCATCATGCAAACAGCATTACCCTTTATGAAACAAAATGCTTCTGGAGTTTTCCTCCTGAGTTAACATACCTGTCTTCTCATCAGGGGAAATCCCCGGACACAGTAGATGCCAAGGGGATGTCATACAATGGGAAGTAACAGGGAGCTAAAAACGGTTACTGTAATTAAATATTTTCTCTTTCTAACTCTGGCCTTCTGACTGTAATGTCAGTAAATACTTCAGAAAAAATCCAAAGTAGAAATGACAGTATCTGTTAACATGAAAGAATGGATTTAGATTATTTAGTGTTGGGATACATCACTGTAAGTACAGACAAAGCTAAGTCTGGTTATGCATTTTATTCATTCCTACTTAAGCACAGCAAACATGTACACATGAGGGTACTTCAATACTGCAGTCTCCCATGATCCCCAACACACACATTCCGTATTCAAAAGCTCTTCCAGCATCAAACGAGAACAGTTAAAAACTGTGTCTCATTCTGAGCCCTGCATGTCTCTGTAAGACTTGTAAAGGATGTTTATTGACAGCAGCCCTGCATCTGGAATTTTGCATTAAAACCAGTATCTGATACCTCAACTAATATTCAGAATCCTGATTTGTACTTTTAACTTATCATGAGCACAGATTTAATTCACAGAACAAGACCTACAGACTGTGGAACAAAGAGAATGAGAAATCATGATTTCAAGTACAAATAACATAACTGAGGACAGTTTCAAGTTATGGACTTCAAAATGTTACTAAGTTTGACATCTGTTAAGATGGTAACTGCTAATTCAAATGTTTTTTTTTTACTGCAGAAAGTAATCATCACCATCCATTCTGTCAAGATGTAGAGAAGTCCAATTTACTAGAAGAGTAATCTGTCAAACTAAATTGTGTGGGATTACTGTTGGATATTCAGTCACAACTCTCATTACATCCTTATGTTAAGACTTTAGTCTTCATATGTTTCTGTCAAAGGCATGTTTGTAGTAAATTACTAACATAAATAACTAATTTCTTGACCTAATCCTATAGCAAACATGTGAAATAATAATAACTTCTGTTGCTATTGCTATTTGGAAAGACAATAAACTCCTTCATTGCTCAGCTTTCGCTTAGAATTACAGAATTTGAGCATCCAGTCAACAGTTTAACAAGAACAAGGTTCCTGTAGAGATAAAATCTGTTGGGCTGATTGCACAAAAAGCTACTAGTTCTGAAAGTTTATCCCTCCTCAGTTTTCTCTCAAATGTTTAAAGCAAAAA